TTTTTTGAAAATTTGATTGTCTTATTTGAATGGGAAAGCTATCTTTTTTTGAAAAGAAATTAAGTGATGGCAAATTTAAAATTTTATCGATTACTATTCCATTATAAATTATTGTAATGCATGGAAATAAAATTTTACAAGATTGAATTCATAATTTCAATTTTTAGAACTTCTGGTAAATTTTTGAGCTGAGGTAATTTCTTGAAAGAAAAAATTGACCCAAAGAAAAATGTTCCTTTCGTTAGTTGATAAACAAATTTTCTATGAAATGCATATTCATTCGAAAGAGATTCGCCGTGAAAATTTTTTAATGTTATGACATTTTACACCGGTAGCGTCTGTAATTTCATTATTTTCATACGTAAATTAATAAATAAGGTATAGTTGAAATTTGAATAAGATATGATTTTTATTGATTGAAATATGGTATTTATTGAAATTAGTGGTCAATGAATAGTTAATCAGTCAACTGAGAAAGCAAAATTTAAAAAAGATAAAATTGTGCTTTCTTTTTCTGAAGCATAGTGACGTTGTAATATTTTATGCAGCGAATAAATAACAATGTAAAAATGAATAGATAGTTAAAAAATGCAATCAATTCAGAATTGTTTGATGATTTTAAAATTTTCGAGCATTCATTTCCTTTTAATTTTCGCTTCAACTTTGTTCGTTTGTACTATCTGAAATTTTATATGATATAATGAAAAACATCTTGAAATTCTCAATATTTCATTTATTTATATATTTTTGTATAGTTTTTTGAAGTTTTGGATCTTTTTTGTCTGATATTATTTACAATGAGATATTTACAAATTTAAAAATTCAGAATCTCATAAATTTAAGAGTAAGTATTGGCAGTAGTATCGTAAAAGAATTGAGAAATTCTCTTCGAACTTTTTTGACTTCCAACTTTTAATATGTTAAAAACTATGAAACATGAAATAAAATTTTATGATAAATAGTTTAAACAAAATAATTTTGTTAATTTGAATAGGGAAATTCTTACATAATCGAAATATGGGCTTATGTCAACATTTAATTAATGTAATTTTGATTAGCATTATCGATATATCATTGTTGATTTTGAAAAAGAATGCCAAAAATTTATCATTTTTGGTATCATTTTTTTCTTTGTGGAAGAAGATGGGAGCGTGGGGAGTTTAAATATAAATTCATTCAAAAAATTTTTTCAAACTAACTTTTGTTTCTCAATGAAATAATAAGAATTAAAATTGATATTTGCATTTGATTTGTATGATACGTTTGTATGATAGGTTGGCGAAAATTGAAGGCAATTGTACCTTCATCATCATTGCTATTCTCATTGCTTTTAAGAATTTTAGCTGCTGGTTTTGGAGTTGGAACGCGATTCTTAATTGATGTTGTTGATGGCCTTTGACCCGCCGATAATGATGACTGTTTAGACATTCCTTCAGATATTACCAAAGGAGTTGGATTCATTTTTACTGTAAAAAAAAGGAGAAAATAAATTAGATTTGAATAAATTGAATATATTTTATTAGAAAATTTTCAAAATTTAAGCAGCAAATTATAAAATCAAAAATTTTCGCTAGAACTATTAAAATTTATTATTATCAAATTTTAATCACCGGTCATTTTTGCTACATTTGATCGTTTGATTGTGGGAATAGTTGTTGATGTTGAGGAAGTGGAAGCGAATTTCGCTACCGCTTTTTTTGTAGATTGCGATAAGTCGCTGACTGCAATTGCGGCTACAGTATGCTCTTTTTGTACTCTACAAAAGGGAAACAAAAAATGATAATAATTGCTTGAATGAGTTCAATTTTTATCTTGCAAAAAATCCGAAATAAAAAATGAATTAAATTAAGAAAAAATGGGATAGATAAGATGAAATTTAATTTAGAGTGATTAATTAATTTAATTTGCTATCATTATATTGTTATCTTTAAAAGATATTGAAGAAATATGTTTTGAAAAATTCATTAATTAAGAAGAATTTGTTTTTTTAATTCTTTTCAATTTTTCATTTTACACATTCCCACGAAATCAAATCAAAAAAGAAAATGTGATGATGTTTAAGAGATTAATGTATTTATTGAGAAAGATGAGGTCAATGAGCGAGAAAGAGAGAGGGAATATTGCAAATCAAAAGGAATTTTTCACATGTTATGGTATATTTCTGTCAAGAGAGGTCATAATATTTCTGTTAATTACTTTTTCTCACAATTACTCATTTTCTCAAAGAATTTTCATTAATATGATAATTTTGCAATTAGGCGAAAATGAAAATTTGATCTGTTGATCTCCAAATTAACTAAATAGGTTTTTTTTTTCATAATTGAAAAAGGCACTTACTTTGTTGTTTTCTTTTTCTTATCTTTTGATGTTATATTTCCAATTGATTGCTAAAATGAATGAATTATATTTTCATTTCATTTTAGAGATAATAAATAAACTTAAGCTGACTTATTTTTATATAGCTAATTTTAAAAATTTGAATTCATTGGATAATTTCCAAATTTCAAACTTTATAACCGTATTTTGTGATGGCGCACTGGATTTGCTTTTTCTCTGTGCTGTATTTTCTTTGCGCCTCTCCTTTTTCAAATCAACACTTCTCGAATTTCGTGATGCAGCCATTTTTATCGACTTAAAATAACATTTTATTCCATCAAAATGTATTTTCAGTATATTACAACAGTTCACTTCTTTCAAACATATAATAATTGAATTTGCATAATTCTAAACATCTATAATAACTAGATTTAAATAATTCTAAATACTAATTATCTCCTGAGAGTTATTTCAAATCCCACAAATTCCTTCATTTTATCTTATTTTAGAAGTTACAAGGCAAAAAAAAAACTGTCATCAATTTTGACACATAAAATCAATCAAATTAATTTTAAGCTTGTCAAGAAAAGTGGAAAAAATTTTTATGAAAATAAAAATAATAATTGCTGCTAAGACATTTCCGCTATTCTTCCTCGATATTCTATCAGAATTTGTTATAAATTTCATTTCTCCATATAAAAGTGGGATGAAAATATTCGTTGCCGCTACATATTCCTTCAAAAAGTTTCATTTTATGAAATTAAAATTTAAGAAAATGAAAGTATATTTTCATAGTATCAATGATTGAATCTAATGATAAATTATTTATTTTAAGTTAATTAATTTTGTATCTCTTTTTTTTATAATAAGTAGTTAAAAGTACAAACTTGAAAATGTTATAAGTAACTGAAGGTGGAACAAAAAAAGGAAAATAATATTTGTATCGCAAAATAATAATAATATTATTATCATGTCTAAGGTTAACCAAAAAATTTTGATAATTTCAAATTTAAATTTTGAACCTTATTATCATCTATTTGTTCCATTGATTGGATAAGCTCCCCATTTAATGTGTACAACTTTTTGGCACAAGTTGTTAAGCCAATTTTCTTGCTGATATCATCCAAAAATGCTTGCATACTTTTAAATTGGTCCATGCTGATGATAAGCTAAGAAATATCATTAAATTGTTAATTTAGTACTGACTGCTTCTTTCAATCATTCGATTTTACAAAAATGAAGGAACGAATTTTTGAGCATTTCAGTCTTTCAAGTTTTCAAAGCTTAGAGATTTCCTTTCAGTAAACATTTATAAGCTTTCTTACAATTATTATTTCAAATTTTTGCTTCGTATTTTCTTTTTCGTTGAAAATATTTTCAAAAAAAAGTGTTTCATAAAATTCATTCATAGAAAAAGTATTTAAAAAAATCATTTTACTCATCAGTGATTTGTAAAATACTATTTGAAAAATTAAAAAAAAATTATGGAAAACATTTGAAAAGATCTTACTTCAAGTCCTTCAAAAGAATTGTCACCATTTTTATAAATTTTAACCTTTTTGGACTTTTGTCGAGGTGCTGTTATTTGTTTCTGAAAAAAAAAATGGAGTAAATAGACTGAAAATATAAAAGATTAAAAGTTAAGAGGGAAAAGAAGAAATTAAACTTAAAATATAAGTATGAAAATATAATTTGCATATTTTTCGAATTTAAGCACAATTTGTTTGAATTATTAATATTCATTTCTTGAAATTCATTCTAAATAATTTATGAATTTGAAGTGTTGAAAATTGAAAATGGATATGTAACGGTCAGCGTTATGAAAAGTGTAAAATAATTTAAGATAAGATTGGTTAGTCAATATCTGTGAATATTTTATGGATAAAATACAATTTTTTTCTGTAAACATTTTTGTTTGTCTTTTGTTTCATTTTCTGTCATATTAAATAAAAACAATAGCACAGATAAAAAGAATTTAAAGAAATTACAAACATTTAAAAGTTTAGCAACAGAAGATTGAAATTCTTTTGCATTTTTCTTCTCCATCATCACATTCATTTCATTTGATAACTTAAATGAATTATCACCGCCTATCAATAAAATTACTTATATCTGAAAGTTAACCTTTTATCATCTGATTGCCAGGACAAGAAAAAAGCCTAAAATTATGATAACATATCATGATCAAAAGAAAAAAATTGTAATAAATAGAAAATGATAATTAATAATGCAAAAAATACATTCATCCACTTATTTCATTAACATTTAGCTATTATTTTGTTTATAAAAATATACATCCAAGCGTAAATATTTCATCTTAGAAACCATATAGCAACATATTTAATTAATTTAATTAATTAACTAAGTTAAGTAAGTAAAGTTAACTTAAGTCAAATTTGTTGGAAAGGAGTAAAAAATAAATAAGGTTTTGTTAAATGCATTGCATACATAAAAATTATGAATATTTTGAAACAGCAATTTCTTTTTTTTTTTTGTTTTCTGAGTTTTCTTTTTCGACATTATATTATATTTCATTGTTTGTTAAAATGAAAAGGATGCGGAGAGAAATTTAAACAATCTCAATAACAATTATTTTTTATAATTTAAAAAAAAGGAAAAGCTAAGTGTTTGAATGCAAAATCTTATTTTCAAATTCACATATTTAGCTTCT